TCCCCAACCGTTGTCACCGTGACACGTGCGTCGTGGCTGTAGGCGGCGGCGTCGTGGGCGATTTGGCCGGATACGTGGCCTCCACCTACATGCGCTTTTAAGGCTGGTGTGGGTAAAGCGACCCGTGATTGGCTGAGCTTGGTATCACCTTGTGTACCCGTCGGCGGGCGGGATCTGCTCTCTTGAGGCTTCGAAGGTGATTGATAGGTGTAGTCAAAACCGTTATGATGGGGCGCGAGATGTGTGGGGCAGTGCGGAAACTCTTCGCTCTGCACCCGAGTATATGATTTAGATCGAGTGCCCGATCGATCCTGATCGGCTCCGATTGAGCGGCCTGGGCTCAATCCAAGTCCGTGTGTTTGCCTAGCTGACTGCGTTCCCTCCCTATCCGGATGTCTTGCTGCTTCCGATAGCGGGATCTTCGTGGACGAGAGTCGATCGGACCGCCAGCCAAGCACCAAAGTCTGGATCGATCGAGGACTTGAACGCAACACGCAGGGAAAACTAGTGTAGGCAGATCTGGCCAACATATTACACCAGATCTTATGCTACGTTGCTAGTTCCGCTACATTTGTCTTCTACAACGCTTGCCAGGGCCGAAGTTTTTCCTGGGTTCGTATGTTTGACGGCCACGCGTGTTCTTCTAAGCAAAGTCGACTCGGATTGATGTTTACTCTATATCTGCCTACCGTCCATCCCGACCTGCATCCTACGTATTCCTATGCTATAACTCATCTGTCTACTAGCTCTCCCCATATTCCCACCGATCAACCGATCAGTGATCGGTCGGCGGACGATTCCTACTTAATTGTAGATCGCTATCAGGGTTCCTTGATCGCGACGATCGCCCGCTCGTCTGTCTTAATCGCCAATCCACAGAGTATTGTAATCCGGTGTGGTCGCTCCCAATAGATCGACCATCCATGCGGGTCGAATGTTGTAAACCCGCGGTCCTTGGGGACATCCCTCTGGTCAGGTTTAGTCCCCCCCCCCCCAGTATATGCTCCTTACTCCTTGGTCATCGATCACCTTCCGCCTCTCTCGTGGGCCCTGCCGTTGTCATTCTTGAACTTGTTTCCTCAGCCCATCGTCGTATCTAGTGCGAATCGTGTCTTCGCGATGCTGTTCCCCCATCGTCGAGCCATCTGCTCACCTTCATCGACTGACCAGCTTCTCCTTGATGTGTCCAACAGCTGACGTCCGCCACTCATGCTACAATTGGGCACCACAGTCTTCGATCACTCGTGTCCGACCTGATCTGGGCAGATCTTCCCGATCAGCAGCGTGGATTCCCAAAAATATTGCTTGCGCTGTACCACACCGGACACAATAATCGGTCGTTTGAGTGGTAGTGTGGAATAGTTACGCCCTGGGAACTCCGGTCGCCTTTGCGCGACTCGAATAGTATTTCCACGGAAGAAGCGTTGTGGCTGCTGGTCCAACTTGCTTTCACTGCTTGTCCCTCACAACGGCGTTGCGTGCCTTCACACAGTGAGTTCTTCCCGGCTGACCTGTCAACGGTTACTGGATCCCAGAGATATGAGCACCTGTCTTAGAAGAAGAAGCTCAAAATGATTGATCTCCAAAGAAATTGCCCGTGTGGGTCCGTGGGACCAAGGATCTCTCGCATCTTGAGCAGCATCGGTGTAGTAACTGGCTGCTCCCGCTCCACCCGACTGTTCGTGCGCTTGTATCCTTGAGCAATGAGCTCAAATTCTGGATCATGATAATCAAGCGTGGCGTTTTGATTTGTTGTGTCCTTCTGAGGCACAAAACCGGCAAATAGTCTAATCATTCGTACTTGCTGAGCCCTGGGCAACTTGCCAATCCACACGGGAAATCCAAAGTCGTTGCAGATCGCCTCTCAGAACCTGAAATTTCTGCTGTAGCAGTCGAAATTTCTTTGCGCCACCGATGCTCGTTTGAAATACTGAGTCTTCTCTTTTATTCGTTGTCGTCGTTATGCATCTGAATCATATTACCATAGTAAGCCTCTGTATGAACCTCGCAATTCGGTATCCACTACATGCTCCAACTGGCAGTGTGAGTCGAACAGTGCAGACGATGCTGATCCTGATCAGAGCGGACTGGCGCCGATAATCCTGTCCGGCTACTGGTAGGCAATTTATCTTGTCGATAATCCGGGTGATTCAGATACAGTCGCTGTGTATCACGACGTGCTGCCAGGCATCTGACCACACGCATGTAACTCCCGCGATAGCCATGGTAACGTTGATCCCAGCATCGAGCTATGTGCGAGCAACAACTGCTCACTGAGAGTCAGACTGGTTATCGTGGCGCTGTCTCGATGGGAGAACGCCAACCATATATCATTGATTCCGGGGTTGGGCTCGAGTAATCGCATGGGGTGTGTGTGGTGTAGCGGGATCAGCAAAATCTGCGAGATTGCTGGATCCGACTTTCCATCTGCAACCCAGGCACCGACCAACGGAGGGAGATCCCCGGTGATCCGTGATCTGTTAAGATTGTTTACCCTGTGTACCGGTTGGTAGGCAAGATCTTTTATCGTCTGGTAACTGCGGAGAGTGTCCACGACTTCATCTAATCCCCGTACCTCGCGAAGACACTCAAGCTTTACCACTTGAGTGTCTTCGTGGGACGCATGGATTGGGTGGAGTAGTAGAGGAAGATCTTCACTCTACGTCCGATATAGGTCTTAGATCACAGCGAGCACTTAGGTAATATATACAAATAAAATCTGTAAAAACAAAATTGCTTTTGTTTTAGAATCATTACGAACCATAAAGATTAAAACGCTATCAATATGGTCAAGATCTAAAACATAAAGCTAGTTATTTTACTATTTAAAAAAAGATACTATTATTCAGTTTCCACAATTTCAAAAAGTTCATTTTAATTCGAGAAAACAGTTTATGTTAACAAAATTGCGGTCACATTATGAATCCTCTTTACAAATATATAAGGTTAAAATTAGCAAGCTAACAAACTAGAATCTAAAAAGAAAAAGAATGTAAAAAAATCACAAGAAAACTTATCGGTCTCAATATATAATACATCAATTTAGACAAAATATATTATTAAACTTAAAATGTGATTGCCATATCAATTTTGAGGGATTTAGTATTTTTAAATATCTAAAGTGGCTCAAAAATTAAAAATAAGTAAATGAAATGATAGATGACTTCTTTACAAAAAAAGTTTAAACAATTCTATCGCTAAAAGTTATGTATTGTTCTACTCTTTCGTGACTCCTCGCAAGGATAATTCTGTTGCTATGCTCCTTAAGTTTGTGCTCCGACACCCAGAGCGACGTCCACCCTGAGCCAGATCTTCCTCTCCTCACTGTTGAGGACACGCGATTGACTCCTTCCGGCCTGTTCGCATTCCGACTAAGACGTACCAGGCCGTGCCGCTTCCGGGTAACATGCGCATCGCTTCGTCTCGGTGGAGTTGGTTTCTGGACCCATACAACCTTCTCCATCTTTGGTGCCAGTTACCGGCGTGTCCCCTGCTACCGACAACTTCTTTGCGATGCTGATTGAGCAGCACCGCACCTCCCAAGCTTCCACAGGTATTGGTAGAGAGAATGGCGAAATTGGCCGCGTTGATATGCAGTTAGCACCACGTGCCCAAGGCTCCAGGGAGTGTGTCCACTCCATACTATGCTGCACCGGTCCTAGACCGATCAGGGCAGCCTTCAGCTACCCGTGGTGACGCACGGGGTTCTCCCCCCCAGATTCACGCGGGGCTACCTGGTAGCGCATGGTTAAAACCAACGTGCACCTGGACGTGGTCGTTCATCTCGACGAAGAAGTTCCTATCCCCGTTCTCTCTCTCTCCCCCCCTCTATCGCTACCGTAGGCACACCAGTGTGAGTGCTCGCGTTCTCTATCCCAGTCACCTTCGGTTGTCCAACGATGGTCCCGGAGACGGTTTTCCTCTAGTGGGGTCCAACGCCAGCATTCTCAGTACTTTCTGAGAGGTTCTCGTTTTCGTCCATGAGTTTGACGCTCAT